TGCCATGCACTTTCATAAAGCTCTTTGTAATCTATTGGGGTTGAGCTGACTGGAGCTTCCTTGTTTCTCATATTAGGGATTTTGCCGCTAGACATTTCCCACAGTACCAATCCAAGACTGTAAATGTCTGAAGACTTATCGTTATTATAATTAATATTAGAACGCACTGGATCTACATAAATATTCTCAGAATCGGATATTTTTTCGGCAGGATCTGGTGTTGAGTCTTCATTAAGAGATACAGATAAGCTAAATCCGATAATTACGAATTTACCATCATGTTCTAATATGTGTTTTGGATTCTATTAATAATATTTTATGTAAGAATTTAGTAAACGCTCAACAAGGATCAAGAATGTGTGGCAAATTTTTTTCATATTCAGCAGTGTCTAAACTAGTCTCAATATACTTAAGATATTCTTGACTTCAAATGCTAAACTGATTAGATATATTTTGCTATTTTAATAAAATTAAATACTCACCAATGCATGATGTACAATATTGGCCCGATGAATATATTTTAAACCATTAGCAATATCTGTAGCTATTCTTATTTTAGAAGTCCAATTTATTTTTGAGGAATTATTTGTCAAATATACTCTAAGATCTTCACCACAGCATTTCTGAAGCACTATAGAGTAATAATCCTTAGATGATTCTGGAATATAACACGGTAGAGTGAATTATAGATCTCTGCTTCAGAATTTGGATGTTATAAATAGAAATAATATATGTACCTTTTGTAAGGCCATAAAATTTTACTACGTTTTTATTTTTGTCAATTTCTCTTAAATTCATTACCTAATTGGTTCAATTTAAATGATTCGAAAATTAAGATTTCGAAAATTTGAAACTTATGTGTTGCATCTAGGGATCTAGGGTTGTTAATGGAGTACTCCAAGCTAGAATAAACAAACTACTCCAGTTTTAAACTGGAGTGGTTATATGTTTTATTATAGCTTGGAGTACTCCATTAATAGCCCTAGTTGCATCTGAAGTAGCCACCTATAAACAGGGTTGGCAATGAAGCCCAATGGAACTGCGAATGGAACCAATGAAGCTCTGAATGGAGCCAATGGATACTGGTTTTTTGAGCTCCATTCGCATAGCCATTGAGCTCCATTGGCTTCATTGCCAACCCTGCCTATAAAGTAGCCACTTTAAGGGTGGGTATGTAGATCATTTGTAATATGATTTTAGTGGTACATTAAGATTTATATAGAAAATGAAAATATGCTACTAATAAAACTTCTTATAGCTGTAATTACTTCTAACAAAAATTTTATAATATATAGAATAAAACGTTCTTTTTATAATAGCAAAAGTTTAAGATATAAAATATTTAAAAAAATCATATTTTTATATGTTGTAAAGTTTGGTCTCAGTTGACTCAAATTTGCCTCAGTTACAC